TGGGGTGCTCAAGGAGTCTCGGCCCCCTCCCTGCTGGGCCCGAGTCCCCTCCAGCAGATCGAGGGGACCCAAGGCTGGTCACATTCACTGATTCCCATTTCCCTGGACTTGTCACTGGAATGCACCTTCTTTAGCTTTTTACCTACAGGTCCGACCAGCCTTTCGTAGCAGTTTGTAACGTTGCCTCTCAGATCCAGAGGGTTGATTTGAACAAAATTCTTCGGTTTGGGCCCATTTTCTTTGTTAGTCCACGTGAGCCCCTCTCTGGTTCTATTTACTTGTTCTCGCCGTTTATCTCCCCTTTAGCCCCCACTGCCCCTCCCTTAGCCAGCCTTTCTAGAGACGTTTAATGTGTGTCTGTTTTTCACGTTCTTGCGACGTAGGTGGTTTTTTGGTTTGCATGTGTTTTAATTTACATACAGAATAACGTGTTGTATATCTCATTCTATTGCTTTTTATCTGCCTGAAAAACTATATTTTTGAGATCTGTCGATGTCACTAAGTGAGCATCCAATCCTGGCTTCTCCCTGCAGCAAAGCGATTGTGGGCACATCCACCGCCATCGACGCTTCTCCCTGGGTGGACGTCCAGGGGTCCCTCAACCTTCACCAGCACCAATAGCATAGAACGGAATGAGGTGAAGGGAGCAGTGCCTCTCACTACTACCCAACTCCTGACCTCTGACCCCTGGATTCTCCCTCAGGGCTCCCCCTGCCATCCAATGCTGTCCTGGCCTCAACTGTATCTACTCTGGGATCCTTGCTGGGGACACTGGAAGTCTTCTCCCCACTGAGACTCCCTGCTGGGGCCCTGTCAGCTTCCCCACTCGGAGGTAACTGGCCCCGGGTAACAGACACCCCTCCTTGGGCCCCCACTCAGTGTACAAAAGTGTGACAAGAAAGTCAGGGCCCGAGCCGCAGCCAGGGGTCCTTCCTGCTTGTCAGAGGTATGGAAGCCTCCTCAGCCGGTGATAAGCAAGTCCGGATTCGAAAAGAGTAAGAACAGCTAGGTTTCCTCAAACGCTGCGGTATCCTAGTCACTAGGTTGACACTTGACATTTATCAATTGGTTTAATTCTCATAACAACCCCAGGCGAAGATATAATTGTCCCTTATTTACAAACGAGGAAACCGCGAGAGCCCTGGGCCGGGAGGGAGCAGGGGGCTGCTGGGAGCAGGAGTAGAAAGGGAAGGCAGCGCCCAGGCTCTGGGGAGGCCTCAGCACAGGGCATGTCCATGGACGACCCCTGGGGGGGCCCAGCAGACAGGCTGCTAGACAAACAGCACCTGCTTTCCGTGAGCTTTCTGATGTTGGGGCCTCCGTGTGCCAAGTTGCTGGCCGGGCTGGCATCACCTCGCCTGCCAAACAGTAACGTTAAGTGGTACCTTCTAACCGGGCTCTTGATGCTTGAGTCTCTCTGGCTCATACCCCACCCAGGTGGGGCCCCTGGACATTCAGGGTTTGGTTTCCACATCCCTCTTATTTTACTTTCTCCAGCGTCACCTAGAGGCTCCCTCCCTGGGGAGTCACCTGAGCTCACTCCTGCACATCTCGCTATCTTTGGAACTCCTGGCCCCAAAGATTGCAGTCTTGGCCCTTATGGCCGCAGCAGACTAGGACCTCTGCCTGCTCCCCAGGGACCCACTGTGCTGGAGAGCCAGGCCCACGCACACCTAAATGTGATCCAGTGCTGTGAGTGGCTCCAGCCACAGGGAGCAAGGATTAAGTTCTGATTGGGAGGATCTGGGGTGGCTTCCTGGAGGAGGGGGCACCAGGTCAGGCCCTGAAGAATCATTAGCATTCAGCTCATTAAGGCATTGCTCTCAAGTAGCATTCAAGCATTCACCAGTGCTTGCCGGCTTCAGCCAGGTAGCGCAAATGAAGCACGTTTTTCTACGTGAAGATTTCTGGCTGTGTGGACTATGGGAGAAAGTCATATAACCCTACACTAAGCAAACATTGACTCTGTTTTAAGTGAACTTGGCTTAACATCTTGGCTCAGAGAGCATGACCCCCGGCCCTTTCGCCTCTCCCTGCCCCAGTCAAAACACTGTACCCTAAGTTGCTTCGCCAAAGATCCTGCACCCACTGAGAGGGTGCTGCAGTGGGTGGCCTTCCTCCCACACCTGTAAGGCTTTGTTTGTTTTGGTTTTGGTTTTGGTTTTTACGGAATCTGGCTTGGAACACAGAGAAAAAGAAAAAGATAACTTCAGATGCCCCCACAATCCTCCAACTAACTAATCAGCACACAGATTAAGCAAAGCAAAACAAAAACCTGTACCTGATAACTGAATTTTCGGGAACGAAGATCTCATACCCCACCCCCAGATAACTCTGGGCCAAGGCATGCACGCCTACTGAGGACAGGTCATTTGCCTCTGCGATCAGACACCCCAGCAATGCTCGCCAAGCTCAGGGCTGTGGGGTCCATCTTCTCAGGAAATCCCACTTCTCCGAGTGAAGCCAGGGTAGGGGGTGTACAGGGGGTGTCAGGCCAGGGTCATTCCTTCCTGTGTTTCCCACCTTGGGGCAGCGCCCCCTCCACCCCATAGGTGGGCCGAAGGCTCAGGGAGTGGAGGGGAGGCCAACGTGGATCTACTCACATAATGTTCTTTTGGTTTCCAGCCAAGGCTGCTGCCGTTGTGATCGGAGGAGGTGAGTCTCTTTATGGAAGGGATTGAAGTCCCCATCTGTCCCCAGGCCCTGGGACTTGGGCAGCAGCCGGCCTTGGCGTGCCCGGGTTTGCCCCAGGCCTCACATAGTTGGTAGAAAAGGGGGTAGAATGATGGAGATGAGTAGGAAACAAGGAACTGGAAACAGGAAACAGAGTTTGAAACAAGGGGTGCCGTGGGAACCCCGCAGGTGCAGAGGCAGCCCTGGCAGGGGCCCAGTCTTCTCTTTGCAGAATGTTGGCTGTGTGACCTTGGACGTGTCTTTGGATTCCTGTGAGCTCCCATGTCCACCCCTGAAAAATGGGCCAGTATTGCCCATGTAGGGTTATCCTGAGGGTTACGTAGAATGAGACATGCACAGAGTTGGGACATAGGAGGAGCATTAAAGAGATGCCATCGGCTCAGTGACGCTGGCGTCTCATTGCTGTGGTGACACCGTGGAGACCCAGGGTTGGGATTTAAGCAGAGTCCTGTTCCCTGTGACCCCACAGCCCTTCCCTCTGCTTTCCCCACTTAGTTGTGCCCCCCTTATCTTGTGACTGCCAGCCGTGCCTATAGTCTCATCCAAGCTCAGAGTTCACCCCCTTCGCCACCCACCGTGAGGTCCCCCAGCTTGACCGACTGTGTGTGTGTACGTGGGGGGAGGTCCATTCCCCTGAGCCATCCCCTTAACCCAGCTCTTGTCTCCTGACAGCCGTGGCTGTGGGGGCTGTGCCCGTGGTGCTGGGCGCTATAGGCTTCACCGGGGCAGGAATCACGGCTTCATCCTTAGCGGCCAAGATGATGTCAGCCTCCGCCATCGCCAATGGGGGCGGAGTTGCCGCCGGCAGCCTGGTGGCCACTCTGCAGTCCGTGGGTAAGTGTCCCCTGGCACGGCTCACTGTGCCAGGCCGGGAGGACAAGAGCCTCAGAGGATCCAGCCCAGATCTTAGCCCCAGGGACCATCCTGGGGGTTTGGGAAACAGAGGGTACTGTGGGGGTGGGGGGAGGTCTGGGCCTCAGGGTCTCCTGAGAGGCTCTGGAGTCTCTGACTCACTATTCTGTCCCATAGAGCTGCCCCTGCCTGCCCATCCCCCTCTGCTCACCTTCCGCTTCTCCCCCAGGAGCGGCTGGACTCTCTCTGACGTCCAAACTCATTGTGGGCTCGGCTGGGTCTGCCCTTATGGGCTATATGGTATAGAGCTGTCTGTCACTTCAGCCGCAGAGCAGAGGACCAGGCGAGGCCCTCCCACGAGCTTGATGCAGTGGAGACCAGTCCTGGGGCGATAATGTGCCGAACACTGCACCCCCACACAAAGATAAGGAATAAAAATGAGTTGTTGCAACCCTCCTGTAACTCTTCCTTTTGTCTCACAGTCAGCTTGGGGAAACGCTCGCTTCTCTTTCCCAAACATGTGGTCACAGAGTCACATGGTATTGGGGTGCAGTGAGCGGAAGGAGCCTACATGGGAAGGCAGGAAGCTGTTCCTAAGTGGCCTGGCTCAGCCTTTGAAAGCACAGGCTCCACCATGTCACTGCCTCAGCCCTGGCCGTCCCCTCACCCCCCAGAAGAAAACATGTAACAGCAGCGTCTTAGTCCATTTGGGGTGCAGTAACAAAAATCACAAAGACTGGGTGGCTTATAAACAACAGAAATTTATTTCTCCCAGTTCTGGAGGCTGGGAAGTCCAAGGTCAAGGCACCGGCAAATTAGGTGTCTGGCGAGAGCCTGCTTCCTGGACGGCCATCGTATCGCCGTGTCCTCACAGGGCAGAAGGGGTGAGAGAGCTCTCTGGGGTCTCTTTATAAGGGCATTAATCCCTGTCATGAATGCTCCACCCTCATGATCTAAGCACCTCCCAAAGGTGTCACCTCTGAACACCATTGGCTCGGGGGTTAGGATTTAAACATATGAATTTGGGGGGTGGGGTGGGGGTGGGAGACACGAACACTCACACCTTAGCCGGCGTGTTGGGAAAGGGGAGCTTAGACTTCATCCTGAGGGTTCCAGAGAGACACCGAAGGCTTTTCAACATGACAGGGACGCGGTCACAGGTCTCACAGCCCTGCACACCCTGCCCTAGGCGCTGTCAGCAGCCTGCCAGGAGCCGTTTTCGGCAAGAACGAAACTTGTGAGTCTAGTGGACATTTCAAAAAAGTTAAACAACTTCCGTGTCCTCTATGGCTCCTATGGGTCAATGAAGAATGGTTGCTATGCAGCCGTAAGAATAAATCCCTTGGGATGTTAATTCAATACTTGATGCTTTTCCTTTCTCTCCTTTCTCCCCTTTCTCTGATGCCTTGGAAAATCTGATAAAAGCTATGAACCTTTTCCCCTCCAAAATGCACATTCTCAAAACAATGGCTCCAACTGTTCGTTAGAGCTACTGAAGGCTCTCCTTGGAGCTGAAGGCAAAAACCCTGCCTGAGCTAGAAGTCCAGGTTCCCCACAAGACAGGCCCTCGGGTCTGACCTGGGTCCAGGAGGACGGACAGTGGGGGTGGGGGCCTCCCTCGCTGCCGAGGCCCGGCACACAGCACGCGATCCCCCTCCCCAGATCACTCATTCTGGACCCCATGTTGTGTCCCCTTCTCCTTCCCCACCCCACTCACGAAGGGGAGGCCTTCCAGCTCCCAGAGGGCCCGTCTCTACTCTGGGGACGACACCGAGTCTGCAGCCCCCACATCCGGGTTTCCTGGGTCTGCTCTGTTTCTCCGCCTCTGGCCGTCAGGGTTTGGCCTCTTTAGCAGGTGGAATTCTAAGCATGGCACCCAGGGCTCCCTTGCCTTGTATACTTCCCCACTTTCGGGCGAGGGTGGATCTGTGACTGTGATGAGATTTGACTCCTGTAATTATGCAGATATATGATTGATGAAAGGCACATTTTGCAGGTGGGTCTCATCTAATCCCACGAGTGTTCTCTGCCCGTCACAGAACAGGAATCGGAGATTGGAAGTAAGGGAGGGGTTTAAAGATTCTTACCACAGCCCCCAAATGAGAGCCCAGTCTGGCTGCAACCTTGATTTGGGCCTTGTGAGACCCTAAACCGAGAACCTGGATTTCTGACCTACAACTATAAGACAATAAAAGGGTATTATCTTAAGCTGCTAAATTCGTGATACTCTGTTACACAGGAATAGAAAACGAATACAGCCTTGACATTCCACTGAGGGGTCACTCGGGAGCTGGCTGGACATGGGGCAGCCCCAGGATTCCTGAGTCCGTTGACCCTTGGGACTCCAGGTCCTGCTCCTTGCGGTTCCAGGGTCTCTGCCTGCCCCTTAGAAGCCTCCAGTGTCAGGGGAGCAGGGCACGTTCGCTGCCAACCATATCCTGGCATATGGCAGCCCAGCATCCCTTGCGGTTCCAGGGTCTCTGCCTGCCCTTAGGAGCCCCCAGTGTCAGGGGAGCAGGGCACGTTCACTGCCAACCATATCCTGGCATATGGCAGCCCAGCATGCTGCAGGGGACAGTGCAGGGAGGCAGAGGTGAATTCTCACTGTGGCAATCTACGATAGCTTCCCGCCGGGACCAGTGTCTTCATCAGCGTGGCAGAGGTCACTAGTGGTTGCCTCCCGTCTATTCTGCATCCCAGTCTCTCCTGCAGCTAGGTGTGCTCCTGGGACGCGGTCCTGGCCAGGGAGAGGTGAGCGGAGGGGAAGTCTGCTACTCTCTGTGCGTGCAGTTAAGCGGAGTGGGTGGGCCTCCTGTGTGCTCTGCCGCAAGAGGAAGAGTGACCATCTCCCACCCTGCAGATGAGAGCAGCACCTTGAGGAAGGCAGAGCCATACAGTGCAGGTGCCTGGGCCTCTGGGGACAGCTCCGGGAGCCCTCCCAGTTCCCAGATGTCTATATGACTGAGTCACAGAGAAAGTCTTCTCCCGTTCCGGACAAGAGGGCCTGTCTTACAGCAAGCAAACATCCATTCTAATGAACACAGTAGGGCATCTTTGATTGCAAGCAATAGAAGAATCAGTCCCACAGAGAGGATTTACCTGTTCCTTCTCGATATGCCACTAAAACCACAGCGAAAGATTAAAGCAAGGCTTAAACCCACAGGGACAAAGAGAAGGGCAGAGAAGACGACAGAATCACAATTTTAGGAGCCAGAAATCACAGGCACATGTGGTTCTACTTAGCCGGCTCCCAAAAAGCTGTATCTCAAGTTGTCAGTGGCAAAGGGGAGAAAGAGGCAACTGTGTCCTGCAGGACCGGAGTGGCGAGTGCTTCCGGAGGCTGGCCCTGAGGTGGACGGGCAGCAAGAGGGCTGGCTGGAAGTCTGTTTAGGAAGCAGGCAGGTCCCCAAGTAGCCCTCTCCAGCAGATGACTGGAGGTTTATTTTCGGTGACGTCGGGTCTCTGGGCCAGGAGGCACCGGGAGCTTCCTAAAAATGAGCGTTGATACTAGTGTGGAGACCTTCAGTCTTCTTCACTGACAGGTGCCCGGAAAGCCTGCACCCCGGGTTATAACTTCTGGAACAGAGAGAAGAAGGGTCTTCTGGGGAACCCTACCAGCCAGAGGAAAGCATCGCCTGAGGAGGGGACTGCCACCTGAGGGCTCAGCCAGATCACAGCAAGAGCCACTCCTCGAAGTGACACTCCTCGCGGGAAGGGGCGCACCCTCGGCCCCTGCTGTCTCCGGCCCGTTCCCTGCTTTGGCCCCAGCCATGGGGCACTCGCCCCCTGACAAGCGCAGCTTCCTCACTGGCTCCCCCGAATGGGGAGGGGACACAGTGCTGATCTGAGAGTGTGGAAAACCGTGGGCACAGAAAGGGACCCGAGGTGAGGGGAGTGTACGGAGGGATGGGGTGGAGGTGTCAGGACTTCTACAGCCCCTGGACTGGGGAGGAGGAAGGGGCTGTTCTCTAGGAGCACTGTCCCCGGTCCTCCCGAGTCCCCACTTCTCGGGTACCCTAAACACCCACAGAGCAACTCTAAAAGTGCTGGAATGAGAGGATCAAAACAAATAACATTAAAAATAGATTTACTGCGGTCAAGACACTGCCCGTGACTCATCACATAAAATCGGCTCACCGTTCCAAGAAAGGTGATGCCGACCACTAGGTCGTTGTCAAAAGAAGCTATAAGAAATGGCCCCGAGTGCCTAACTCCCGCCGCTGCCGAAGATGGGCGTCTTTCTGTCGGCCAAGAACGGTCGACGCTGTGGGTTATTTCCAGATTTGGAGGCTGAAACTGGCTCCTTGCCCGCCAGCTGACTCTCAGCTGCGGCATATGTTCAGGGAAATAAAACTGTTTTCGTAATGAATCAAACAATTTCAAAGTGATGAAGCAAGGCGGGGTGGGGTTGGGGGTGGGATAGGTCACCAGGTCACCGGTGCCAGCCACCTTGGGGCCAGCCCCAGCTGGACCCTCGAGTGTCATTGGTAACAGGGACTTTTTAGAGAGGAGCACTTTTTCAAACTGAGATTGGGCCACACTTTCCCTGACAAATTAGGGACCATCCATTGGTTCGAGCGACTTACCCCATGGGTCGTACATCCCCTAACTAAAATCCATCACTGGCTGAGGGCTATTCTGGGGGACCAACACCTGATACTTCCTTGTAGGCCTCAGGGGGGGCGGTCCTCAGAGGGAGGTGAAGGTGCTGGCAGGTACTGGAAGAGTGTTGGGGAGTACAGGGAAGTCTCCAACAGCGTCCGCAGCACAGCTCAGTAGACACAGAGGTGAACAGCGTTTATGCCAGGAAGTGGGTACGCCCCTTCTGCTGGGCCTGTCCAGGGGGCGGGGGGCGGGGCGGCGGGTCAGGCCAATCTTATCAGGGGTTGAGCTGAGTTTGGATTTTGCTGTTGCTGTGGTTGCTGTGAGCACACCACCAGCTTCACCGTAGAGCCCCATTTTTCTCAGTATCTGCTCCACCCTGAGCGTCGGGGTTCCATTCTGTGTGTGTGTCTTGGAGAGGGTCTCTCTACTCCTGAGGTGGCGCTGGCATTCTCCGTGGTCCTGTCCAGCCAGTCTGGGGAGGCCACTGGGCCTGGGCCTGGCATTGAGGTTTTCTCAATAGCCCTGCCCCTCTCCCGGTGGTGGGCGGGTTCTGAATACAGGCCCAGGAAGTTTTTGCACCTGTCTTAGGGGTACGTTTTTTTTCTTACCCATCTGTGCTCGGGAAGGGGCGGGAGTGGTTACAGGCTTCCCTGTCCTTCCCCCAGCAGCAAAAGGCTCTTGTTTCCTGGGGGAGAAGGAAGGTGGGAGCCGAGGCTCTGCTCCCTGTCTTGCTTCATTGAGGGGAGTTTTCTCTGGGTTTCTTTCTGCCCCTCATCTTTCTTCGGAGCACCCAGCAGGTCCTTCGAAAACTATAGACCACTTTTGTCTCTATAGCTCTCCAGGGTTCCACATGCTCACAGCAGCCCCTACTTGGCCTTGAGCAGTCAAGACTTTTAGCTGAATTCTCACCTGCAATCACTGCAGCCCCACGCTCTGCCCCAGGTGGCTCAGAGCTCTCCTGGGGGGCACCGAATTTCCTGAGAGTTCCGGCCATCTGGTGGCCCTGCTACTTCAGCTCTCTTAGGGGTTTAAGAAAAGTTATGCTTTTGTAGGCTGTCTGGCTTTTTCTTGTTGTGGGGTGGGAGTGATGCTCTCTCCAGCTTTTTACATTCTAAGCAGCACTTCCTGCTCGATACGTCCGCTGACTTGTCTACTGAATGCAGCGTGTGCATCCTGGAGATGGCATCTCCTTAAGATGGCCGGCTGGGGTGTAAGCAGAAGTTTTAGCACTTCTATTTCTATTTATTTTACAGCTCATCCTAAAAACAAAACAAAACAAAATGAAACACACACACACACACACACACACACACACAAAACTCCAGAGAATGACACCTCTGTGGCAGAAATGAGACCGCATCCTGCAGGTGCACGGAGACTCTGAGACACACAACAGTGCTTGCCATCAGGGTAGGAGCTGGTGAATGTCAGTTCCCTTTCGATTTCCAGACATAGCGTCATTCCTGATTCAGTCTCCACCCCCTGAAGTGCCAGACCCCACTGTAACGTTTGGCATAGGGTACCGTCCTGGTGGTTCACTTGCCAGCCTCCCCACAAAAATGTTGAGCTTAGGCAGGGAAGGCTCTTCTCATGTCTGGATGTCTAGTGCCCATTCAGGAGGAAGGGCGAAGGGCCCTGGCATCAGTGGCTCAATAGGTATTCTGGCTACCTCTCACCTTGGCTTCCTGACAGGAACCTCTGTCAACCCCATCACTGAATGAGGGGTACACTGAGGCCCACAGAAGGCCCATGAATGGCCCCGGGGTTATAGAGCCCACCCCTTGTAAGACTAGGACCAACCAAAGCCTCTGACGACTGATTCTGTGCTCGATCAGCCCGCCACCCCTGTCTGACCCTCCATGACCAGGCGGGTGGGAAGAACCTCCGATTCACGACTCCCCAGCCCGGGGTGCAAGGGGCGAAGAAGAAGAGGCACATCTGCACAGGAGCTTTATTTCACATGCTTCTCTGACCCAAGTGGGAGTTTTGCAGGTTGAACTTGAGATTTCTCCAGGTCCCCTTTAGCCCTGGGTCCAGCTGAGGGAGAGGAAGGTGGTACCTTTTTTAAATTTCCGAGCAAGGCCCCGAAAACTGACCCAGTGGAGGCCAGGAGGATGTTGGATGACGTAGAGAGTCCGGCTGCCCCTAGGGAAGAGACAGAGGGTGAGCATGGGGACCGTGCAGTGGCCAGTTCCCAGGGCCCAGAGATCCCACCTGGATCCCTCCTCCAGGTCCTGAAACCACAAAGGCTCTGCTCTGGGTAGAGAATGCTGGAGGCAGCAGAGAGAGAGAGAGAGGAAGGGGGGAGGGAGAGAAAAGAGACGGGGTGAATTCATGGGAAGTGGGAGACAGAGGAGAGTCGGCCACAAACTCTTGAGAGCTGTGGGTCTCCCTACTTTACACAGGAGGTCACTGAGGCCCCAGAGAGGGGACCTGCCTGGACCACCCAGTTGTCAGATTTGGGTAGAACTGAACCCAGAGCTCAGACATCACCCACCCGGGGCTCCTTCCCAGAATCCCCTCAACCCTCCACTTCTACCCCAAACCCCACCCAGAAGCGGGCAGCAAGAGGACAGTGAAGGAGAGACAAAGGACCAGGGACACTGCGGACCGCGGAACTGGAGGGAGAGCACAGGCCCTCCCTCGGGCTGAGCCTCTGGGCTGAATCCTGTCCTGGCTCTGGTCCACCTCCCGCAACCCTCCCGGCCAGGACGCTTACCCACAGACTGTAGAGTGGCCACCAGGCTGCCAGCCGGAACTCCGCCCCCGTTGGCGATGGCAGCAGCTGACATCATCTTGGCCGCTAAGGAAGAGGCCGCAATCCCTGCCCCGGTGAAGCCCGCCATGCTCAGCACCGCGGGCACAGTCCCCACGGCCACGACTGCGGGGAAGAGGGGCTAGGTCGGAGGGTGGGCTCCAGAAGCGGACCCCTTAGGAATTCCGTGACAGTTTCTGGGGAGTCTGCTCCGAGCTTGGAGAAGGGTGCCGAGATACAGAAAAGGGTGCGGGGCGCGGAGCCAGCTTGGGGCAGAGACGTCATGGGAGGTCCAGGCATAGTCAGCTCGCTAACTTGCTGGGTGACGCTGGGGAGTTCACTACCCCTCACTGAGCCCCAGGGGGGTGTGTGTGTGTGTTGTGTAAATGTGGGGAGAGAGACAAACCATTGCAGTTTTTAGCAGCACCCCCCTTTCAAGTGCACTCCTCTCTGCACGCTCATCATCTATCAGGACTACAGGAGCCGCTGGGTGGGGGTCCAGGTGGCCTCTTCCGCCAGGGCATCGTGAGCATCTGCCCCTCAGTCTCCAGACGGCTCCGGGAGGGGAGGGTGGGGCTGAGCCAGCCCTCGTAACCCTCTCCCCCCGCGCAGTGCCGCGTCTCTAAGGTCTCCCGCCATCTCGGGGTGAGGGGCCCCGCGAAGGCCTGGCGGTGGAGGGGATCCAGGTAACTCACCTCCTCCGATTACAGCAGCAGCCGCCCGCTCTAGGGAGACAGAGAGGAGGGTGGGGGACAGTTAGTTGATTGAGGGACTGAGGGAGAGAAGCGACTCCTCTGGCCCTTCGTGGGTTGGGGTTGGGGTCGGGGAGGCTCGCCCCCGGCCCAGGCTGCCATCCCGGTGGGACAGCGCGACTCACTCAGCATGGTGAGGCCCTCCTGGTCCCAGCTCCGCTCAAGAAATGACTGCGCTCCTTGGGGTGTTTCTTCCCCGGCGAACCAATGGGGACACGGCCCGCCCCTCGCAGCGGCTCCTGGGTCCTGCAACAGGCAGGGCGCGCCTTGCACCCGCCAGCTCGCTTAGATCGCCCTGCGCATGTGCCATATAGTTCAGTGTATCGGCTCCCCTTTTTAAGAGTCGGAATTCTCTCTCAGTTTTGCTCTTGTAAGTTATGAGGACAGGAGGTGTTTACGTCACGGTGCACAAGGGTTTTCTGATAAAATTTTCCTGTAGGTAGAATCGCTGCGTCAGGAACTATGCATTTGTCATGGCGCTTGATATGACTGTTAGGTTGCTCTCCAAAAATATCGTATTGCTTTACACTCCCCCCAAAAGTATGTGGGAGGATCTACTTTGCTCTACTAGAAATTAGCTTTGTCATTAAAAATCAAAAAACAAAAAAAAACTTTGCTGACGAAGGGTGAAAATGGTGACTTATTTTAACTTTTTTTTTTTACTTCTAATGAGGTTAAACAATTTTTAAGTTTATTATGCTTATTCAGTCCTTATTTTGTGAATTGTCTTATTGTACTCTTTGACCTTTTTTTCCACTGAAGTATTTGTTTTCCCTTACAAATGTATTGGAATTTGTCATATATTAACTATCTTAATCCATTTTCACAGATGGTGCCAAATTTTGTTTCCAGCTCATCAAGGTTTTTTTTTTTTTTTGGCATTTTTTTTAAACACAGAAAGGTTTTAACATTTATGGAAATTTGCCAGTGTTTTAGTTTATTGTTTTTTGTCTTCATGTACCTAAAAAGGTCCCTTCTACTAGTTATTAGATACGTCATCACCTGTATTTTCTTTAGGTTCTTCTGAGATTTCAGTTTTTAAAATTAACTTTTTAATCAACTGAGAGTTTAGTTTGGTACATATAGGGTGCTTTACATGTCTGTATATGTCTTAGGCAATTGTTCCAACACCATTTATTATTTTTCAATTCTTTGCTTTGAAATTCCATCTTTATGTTCAAAATTTATATCCTGGTATCTACACTTAGTTTGAAGCTATCTCTTAAGGCAACAATATTACACTGTTATAATGTTTATAAATCTAATATTTAATATCTGACTGTCCTATTTTGTTTTAGGTTTTAAAACTCTTCTAGCTTTTCCTACCTATTAATTCTTAAGATGAACTTTTAAAATATTTTTTCAATTCCCAAAGTAAAAAATTCTTTGCTATTTTGATTGAAATAGAGCTAAATTTTTGAATAAATATTTAAGGAGCGACATCTTTACGAAAGCTATTCCTTACATCCATGAACATGATAAGTTTTTCTTTTTATTCAAAAATTTTTTTATAGCCCTTGGTAAAATGTTGTAGTTGTCTTCATGTAACGAGTACGTATTTTTAAATAAACTTTATTTTTTAAGGATGCTCTTGGCTCATTTAGTCTATTTCTTGTCCCAGTCCTAGAACTGGAATCCTGATTTCTTTTATTAGAACATGGTATTGACTTCAACACCTGCATGCTAGGTGTGCTCATTGCTATTGGGGCGTTATTGCTTCTAGGCCCTCTCAGCTACTGAGCAGGGAAATAGATATTTGTGTAACCCATGTACATACACATACCTATAAAAATTTTTATTTGTAAGTACCTGTATGGATGTTGAGCCAAACATGAGTTCACATTGATGTCTCCAACTCTAATCCATCATCACATGGGCCATTCTAGCCTCCTCCCTCTCTTATCTGTTAATTCCTACTCCAGTAGAGAAAAACATGGGCCCCTTCACCTGTCAGCCATTTCTTAATTGTTCAATTTCAGTATACAGCATGGCAGTATCAGAACTATTAATCCAAGGCTACATATTTTTTGTGAAGCTTAAAAATACTTTGAAATAGTCTCTACTATCCTGAAATAGGATTCGCACATAATAATATCTAGTTATACACAATATACCACCGAAATTATAATATACAAGAGCAATAAAAGGTTATTTACAATAAAAAGTGTGTATTTCAATATGTATATGCTCAAGCACTATTATATCAGAAGATATAATGAATCAGTTGCTTGTATTCATCTAAGTTTAGATTTAAGATAATATAATATTCAACTGAAAATTAGTAATTGTTTTGTTATATTTTATTATTTGAAACAAGGGCTTAAGAAATATATCTATATATCCCTATCCATATATTTATATCTAATCACCATGAATGTGGCAGCTGATTCAAGTACCCAAGAATGACATGGCTACTGGCAACATGATTTTCTGAAATGATCAATAACTCTTGGTAAACGTCAGAACATATCAAAGTACAATTTCTCTCTGATTTTCAAGATAATTGCAATGCCTGGAAAATCTAATCTATATCGAAACTATGCAAAAAACCCATGTAAAACGTGGTGAAGTTCTAGGTTCAGGTAATTATGAATTCTTTTGCTTACATGAAGGGACCTTTGAAATTTGTACAGGGTAACTTTTAGTCGTGTGGGACTGTTCTGCATATTTCAGGATGTCAGGCATCCCTGGGTCCTAGTACTAAATTCTAGAGCATCCCTCCATCACTTTGACTACAAAAAACATGTCATCGAATTTTGAAAATGTCCCCTAGGGGGCAGTACTGCCTCTGTTAAAAACAACCATCTTAGAAGATAACTTTAAAAACCTAGGAATGTTTATAATTATTTAAAAGAGAAAATAAAATATAAAACCAATGATATTCATATTTTGACATTTGTTTCAAGAATAATTTTTGAGTATTGAATATTTTACTTGTGCATAATAATTTGGTATATGTGACAGATTAGAATTATGATTCTAATTTCAATGGTGTACCTTAGTAAGAGATTTAATCTTGTGATTATAAAGATGAAACATTAGATTTTTAAACCAATTTTGTAGATAATGTTAAAAAATTAAAAATTGTATATTTATTCATTAGATTTATAAGATTTGCCAGTGTTCATGGGAAGGGTTTGCTTGTTAGAAACAAATGCAGTGTTTAAAAATAAAATTGATTATATATATAAACCTAAAAAAAACCTGGTTACGTGACTATATATACAACCTAAAATATTTACGGGATTTGATTAACTGGGTTGTAAATATCCTCTTAGGTTTATACATAGGATATTGAAGTTTTAATTAAACCTAAAAAGTTAAGGATATTAGCATTTAATTTTTATTTTGAAAATTTCAATGTTAATTTTTTAAAAATTATTATTATTATTATTTATGCCTACAGCACCTGGTCTTCCTAGGTGGTCTCCCATCCAAGTACTAACCAAGCCTGACCCTGCTTAGCTTCAGAGATCAGACGGGATCGGGCTTGTTCAGGGTGGCATGGCCATAGACCATAGACTGTGGATCCACTGGGGCACAAACCCAGGACCTCCTGCGCGTAAAGCAGACGTGCTAACTGCTACACTATGGAATAATATCCTTAATGTTAATTAAAAAACCCAAACCATGAATAGACTTTACTGTTTATAAAAGCTGTTTTCAAAGATAACCTAAAATTCAAATATAAACCGGCCATGTTATTAGTCTCTCCTGAGTATTGCCAACTGTATCTTTTCTGATTTTCTAGAAGCTGCAAATAAAAACCGTAAGCGTAAACCAAACACAAAAAAGCACTTAAGCATAAGGGAAAAGGTTATTAATTTTAATACATTAAAATTAAGAAGCGCTATTCAACAAAGACACTATGAGAATGAAAATTTAAACCACACAGTGGGAAAAAACATTTGTCACAAATATAACCAACAAAGGACTGATATCTGGAATACATATATTACTCCTACAAATCAATAAAAAGGCAAACCAGTAGAAAAATATGCAAGGGATTTAAGAAACCACAAAATGAGGCTATTCAAATAACCAGTACATATATGAAAAGACACACAATCTCACTGAGAATCAGGAAATAGAAATTAAAACCACAATACGAGGAGTTCTGCCTCTGGCTAAGATGTAGAGGAATGTGAAAAACAAGAAATCAATGAATAAACTATATAT